AAAAAAAGAAATCGAGCGATACCTCTTATATATATATATATATATATATATATATATATATATATATAATCATTTAATCGAAAATTATAACATAAAAATGTTCTAAAATCACTACAAAAATAGCCATTTTGTTTCAATACTCATGGTGTCTTCTCAAGTGATTGTGTTGAATTCAAGAAGAGAGAAGACACCAGAAGTGTTGAAACAAAATGGCTATTTTTGTAGTGATTTTAGAACATTTTTATGTTATAAATTTCGAATAAATGATTATATTTTCTCTACTCTGTATTAAGCACTCTTTTAAGAATAGTATTTGTGGTTATTGAAATTTATTCCGTATACACCAATCCTATACTTGTGTGTATATATATATATATATATATATATATATATATATATATATATATATACTCGAGTTCACCCCATGTAAGTCAGTAAGGCCACTGGGTTACTACGATGGAAGAATTAGAAACAAAAAAATTACTAATGAGCGAGAACAAAAGAAGTAAAGAAGTAATCAAGACAGTAGACAGTGATTGACATTGCATTAAAATGTTTGAATATGAAAGATGACTGGAAAGCATCGAGCCGGAAAGAGAGTTTCGCTGTTGTTCTCTTTCTATTACCTTGACTTTATTCCATAGGAGTTGATCACTATTTCCCTCCATATATGATCAGCCATGCTTGATTTCAGTATCTTTCCCAAGATAAAAGCTTTTTAAATTTTCTGTTGTGGATTCCGAGATGAAATTCGGTCTCCAATAAAGGACAAACGCAGGAATGAAATATAAGAAATTAAATGTATTTACACAATAATACAATGGGTAATACTGTTAGTAAATCCAGAAACACGGTTAGTAGCAATATATATATATATATATATATATATATATATATATATATATATATATAGTCTTGAATTAGGACTTCCTTAGAGTCTACGTGCTTGTAACTGTGACTTCTACAAGCAGTTACCTCACACTATTACTCTACCTCCAACTCAATCACAATCTCTGTCTTACTATATTCTGACTGACTCTGGATATTTAATGGCAGCAGTCGAAGTAACACTCTGGTCGAGTCCACTTATATGAAAAAGGGGAGGACCCCATAACAGTTTCTCTACTATTATTTTAGTGTGTGCCTAGTCTCTCATCGTAAAGCCACTAAGATACATGGGGTTAGTGAGTTTGAAAGAAAGAACGGAAGAGCGTAGTTGGTTTCAGCTTTATTGTAGGTTCAACGTTGTTAAGTTTGGAGAGAAGATCCATTAAATTGGTGTTTTTTGGATATATTAATAATGAGGAGTCGTCTATGTATCTGAAATATGAAGAGTTTGCAAGGAAAATATTTTTTGAATGAGTCACTTTCTCGAAATTCTAAAAATAGACAAGCAAGACCGTCGCTGAGAGGAGATCCCATTGGTAAACCAAATTTCTGTCTGCAATGTTGGTTATCAAAAGTAAAGAAACATTGCTTGGTAATTAGCTAGCATATTTTTATGATCTTATGTGCAGATACGGGTAATTTAATTTTTGCTTTTGTTAGGTGTTTTTTAGTAGATTTAAGCATTTCTCTATGGGGGCGTTTGTGTAGAGAGATTTTATATCTAAACTAGCCATATATTTGTTTTTAATGTCTATGATTTTAATTTGTTTTGTAGGTCGCCTGAATTTTTTGCTTCACTTTTGAAACTGAAACCAACTACACTTTTCCGTTCCTGGACATTTTGTTACATAGAAATAATTACGAACTCAATTTTGACGTTTGCAGAAAGGCTACAAAAATGATCTGATCAATTTCTACTCAAACCACTCTTCTAAAAATTAAATCTGGAATTATTATAGGTTTCTATCTAAGAGCGTTAAGAATCTGCAGTCCCCAATATTTAGAAGAAATATAAGAAGAAACATACATAGAAAACACATTGAAAAACCTACAATACCCATAACATTTCATCCACAACGCAAGAAGAAAGACATACACAATATACAACCGAAACAAAACTAATAACATAATCCGCAATAGTAAATTACATGAAAACAGATGCATAATACTACCGACCAACTCTGTCACGTCCACTGTCCGGAATAACCTATCCCATCTAAATAATTTAAAATAGTCACAAACACTTCCAAAGCCATCATGGATATACTCAGATCTTTAAACACTAGTAACAATAATATTTCTGAAGCAGGCATTTATAAAATAAATTGCCAAAACTGTTCCTCCCAATATATTGGAGAAACAAGTAGAAATTTAAAAAAAAAACGCATTCATGAGCACAAAAGAGACCTCACAAAAAACAACTTAATGCACTAGTAGAGATAAATTTAACCAGAATTTTGATTTTAAAAATACTACACTCATAAAAAAAGAAAATAACTCACTCAGAAGGAAAATCCTAGAGAGTGCCGCCATTGAATATTACCCAAATATTAATCTACGCCTAGGTGTTTTTCCCTATTTCACCATTCATAACAGAATTACTACTCCCCCAAACAAATGGAAATCAAAAGAAAATGGTTGAATCCGTCATCACAGCAATAATAACAATATCTCCACACGTGGCTGTAACTGACGTAATTTTCAGTTAACAGTATGAAAATAGCGTTCTCTAAATTCTTCCAGTTGTTAAGGACATTTTGTTTTTGTTATTATTAGTTACTTTGTTTAAATAAATACATTTAGTTTTTTGCCTTGAGAAAGTCCACATTGGACGAAACGCGTCGGCAACTATTACAGTTTTCCTATTGTCATATATATATATATATATATATATATATATATATATATATATATATATATATTCTGTATATATATGCAGAATTCTGCAGAATTTCATTCAACATTCTAGCCGACTCAGGTATTAAGCTTAATTTTGAGCAATTTCCGTTTTGCGGAGCCAATTGTAATGCTAAAAAAACTTATCCTACGTGTCGTCAAGAATAAATCTGGAGGACATTAACATACGACAAAGTTGCACGCACAATGCAGTGAATTGAAAACGATAAATATCCGCAGCTGATCCCCCCCCCAAAAGCTGACCTGTATAGTATAAAAGGAAAATGTGCGTGTGTTGTCGCATTTGCGCCGTATTATGCATTTTGAGTTTTTAAAACGCGATCAAACGATAACATGCATATTTATACGTCCGGCAGCAGCAACGTGTCTGTGGACATTTCGTCGAAAAGCACACAAATAAATGCGTTGTCTCCTCCAAAGTCTCTGTCAACTCCTGACCACATAAGGCAAGGATAAACAGAAGAAAAAAAAGTAATTAGAACTCGTTTCTGACTGTTCCACTCCACCCACCATTTTCACCTGACCTTGTAACAAATTTTTATTAGCTTTGTCAATCGCTTTTAAAAAATTAAAAAAAAAAAAATCGAGAACTTTTTTGTATCAGAGCCAGCGGAATTTTACATTTTATCAAAGTGCTGTTTGATACATGGCAACAAGTCAATACAAATAACGGTGAAGATATAATTCAATAAAATGTTGTTTTTTTTTTGTTTGTTTGTTTGTTTTTTATAAACAAAAGAACGGAAATCGTAAATTATTTTGTGGGGGGGATTGGTTCATAATTATCAGGCGTTTTTTAAACAATATTTATTATTAAATAATATATATATATATATATATATATATATATATATATATATATATATATATAACAATTCAACAATAACTTTTTAAAATGATTATTCCGGAGCGTATGATTATCGACACGCATTTTTATGACCTGAAAATAAAATAATATTTCTTATTAAAAAAAAAAAAAGTAAACGAAAAACTTTTATTAACAAATAATTCGCCTACACAAACGCCTGATAATTATGCACCAACCCAATAATTCAATTTAATATCTGAGAGGTGGCTGAAAATGATTTGGCTTGTTCTAATTCCTAAAGTCTGATCCAATTTTTTTATCTATACTATTGTGCATCCAACACAAGGTCCAAGAGCCACTCAAGGTAGAAGGTTACTGAATGAAGTTGTTGAAGGTAAAAGATAAAAGTGCATATTATTAGAATATGCAGTGTACGTAATGGTTGGTCTTAGACTTGAAGAGTTTAATGTTTGTTGTGATCAGGGAAGCACCTTTCCGAGAGTCTGTTCCACAAAATAACAGTTCTGAAGAAGAAGCTATCTAAGCAGAACTTACTTCTTACTAAATGACCAAATATCAGCAAGGGGATATATATACTTCCTATATTATACTATGTTAACCTATGACATCTGACTCAGATGTAGATTGTATGATAGTAGAAGTTAAACCTTCATTTTAATAACGCATTTTTTTCATTTGTGATTAATAAATGAGCAGTAGTCTGACAAAATGGTGTCTGACATGAAAGTGTGTAAAAAGAGCAGAAATATGCCATTAAATTCCTCCACACAGAAAAAAATTACACCCGTTGATAGTAATGTTCATTTGCTAATGTTTCTTCTTCTTCTAAGCCGTTCTTCAGGCCGTTGGTTATTATGGCTCTCCACAGCTTCCTACACCTTATAGCTCTTCGTCTCTTAGCATGTATCTCCTTCTTGTTCCGCATCCATTCAGACAAGCTTGTCAGGTAGGTGACCCACTATGTTCCTCTGTCTCTTTTGCCTTCTGTATGTTCTGTGAGTGTTGGATTCTCCAAGCCCTCAGTCCTTATTATGTGTCCAGGTAATTTCAGCTGTCTTTTTCACATTCTGAGTATAAGTCTCCTTTTTTGTTTCCATTTTTCTTCAAATCGTCCATGACATTCTTAGCATCCTTCTGTAGATCCACATTTCTGTTGCATCATTTCTCGTTCAGTAATCACTGCCATAAAAGAGGATTGATATTACAATTACATAATAGTTCAGTACTCTCTTTTTTTATAATGAATTTTACCTGATTCTTTGCTTAGCTTTCGGAAGGCGTCTTCGGTGTTATTTATTCTATCCTCTGTTGAAACAGTTCCGTGAAAATGTTGATATGAGCACAGTTAGGTGGACTATAATGCAACCTCAGCAGAGACCACAATGGAGTGGCTGAAAAGACACATTCTAAAAGGCCCTGCAAAAGTGTCCACTTGCGAAGTAAACAAGGAGACGACCAGTTGAGCGCGCGAATCGACGGATTTACGACAAAGGAACAGTGTACGAAGATAAATAACATTCTCAATGCGACAAAAACGATGGTGGAGACATTTGTAGATATCACAGTGTTTGTAAAGAGAAAGTCCATCCCATGTAAGTGTCAGGACCTAGTGAAGCGATTCGAGCAAGGAATGATAAATAGTGTGAATGGAATGAAGACATAGAAAAAGAAAGAGGGAAAGATATTAATCTGAGTGAGAAGATGCGAATAAAAGGGGGACAAAAAGTGATAAGTAATGTGAGAGAGGAGAGAGGAAGAGAAAGGAAAAGAGGGACAAAGAGTGATAAGCAATCTGAGAGAGGAGATAGAAAGAGAAAGAGAGAAAGATATTAATCTGACTGAGGAGATGCGAATAAAAGAGGGACAAAGAGTGATAAGCAATCTGAGAGAGGAGATAGAAAGAGAAAGAGAGAAAGATATTAATCTGACTGAGGAGATGCGAATAAAAGAGGGTACAAAGAGTGATAAGCAATCTGAGAGAGGAGATAGAAAGAGAAAGAGAGAAAGATATTAATCTGAGTGAGGAGATGCGAATGAAAGAGGGACAAAGAGTGATAAGTAATGTGAGAGAGGAGAGAGGAAGAGAAAGGAAAAGAGGGACAAAGAGTGATAAGCAATCTGAGAGAGGAGATAGAAAGAGAAAGAGAGAAAGATATTAATCTGAGGAGATGCGAATAAAAGAGGGACAAAGAGCGTTAAGCAATCTGAGAGAGGAGATAGAAAGAGAAAGAGAGAAAGATATTAATCTGAATGAGGAGATGCGAATAAAAGAGGGACAAAGAGTGATAAGCAAACTGAGAGAGGAGAAAGAAAAGAAGAGAAAGATATTAATCTGAGTGAGGAGATACGAATGAAAGAGGGACAAAGAGTGATAAGCAATCTGAGAGAGGAGATAGAAAGAGAAAGAGAGAAAGATATTAATCTGAGTGAGGAGATGTGAATAAAAGAGGGACAAAGAGTGATAAGCAATCTGAGATAGGAGATAGAAAGAGAAAGAGGGAAAGATATTAATCCGAGTGAGGAGATGCGAATAAAAGGGGGACAAAGAGTGATAAGCAATCTGAGAGAGGAGATAGAAAGAGAAAGAGAGAAAGATATTAATCTGAATGAGGAGATGCGAATAAAAGAGGGACAAAGAGTGATAAGCAAACTGAGAGAGGAGATAGAAAGAGAAAGAGAGAAAGATATTAATCTGAGTGAGGAGATACGAATGAAAGAGGGACAAAGAGTGATAAGCAATCTGAGATAGGAGATAGAAAGAGAAAGAGGGAAAGATATTAATCCGAGTGAGGAGATGCGAATAAAAGGGGGACAAAGAGTGATAAGCAATCTGAGAGAGGAGATAGAAAGAGAAAGAGAGAAAGATATTAATCTGAGTGTGGAGATACGAATTTTAGAGGGACAAAGAGTGATAAGCAAACTGAGAGAGGAGATAGAAAGAGAAAGAAAGAGAGAAAGATATTAATCTGAGTGGAGAGATATAAATCGAAGAATGAAAACGAATAATGACTGAGTGATCTAACTGAAAGGGAAGGAAAAAGAGAGAGTAATTATTGCAAAAGGAAACAAAAAAAGAAAGACTAAATTGAGAGGGGGGTGCAAATGCATGAAGACAAAGAACGATGAGTAATTTGAGAGAAGTGATTGAAAGTGAAGTATCGAGGAAAAGATATTAATTCCAACGAAATGACAGAAATAGATGACAAGAAGGAATGAGGTTTAATTTGCGCGCGAGTACAAGTAAAGAAGGACATATATCAAGTGGAGAGATATCACTTGAGAGCAAAAGTTCATGAGCTATTTGAGAGATGATACTGAAAGTGAAGAACAATGAAAGAGGAAACAAAATTAATTTGAATTAGGCAATTGTGATGAGTAAATAGGGATGGAGAGACTGAAAGAGAAGAAAAAAGAGGAATATATTCATTTGAAAGAAGTACTGTAAACAAAAGAGTAACTGGTGAGTAATTTGAGCGCGGACATTCAAAGCGAAGAAAAAAGATTTCTACTTGAGCGAAGTGATATAAATTGATGAAAATAGACAATGGTGAGTAATTTTATCGGGGTGGTGGATTTCAAGATGAAGGAAAATGAGATGCTAATGTCTGCAAAGTGATATAAAATAATAATGGGTAATTAGAGCGAGGAGGTTCAAAGTCAAGGAAAATTTCATATCTACTTGAACGAAGTGGTATTAAATAGATGAAAATTGAGAATGGTGAGAAATTTGCGAGACAGGGTTCAAAGAGATGTAGAAGGTGATATAAACTTGAAAGAAGTGATATAAATTGATGAAAATAGCGAATAATGTGCAATTTCAACAGGGATCTTCAATGAGTAGGTAAAGGAGATGTCAAAATAACAGAAGTTGTATAAATTGATGAAAACAGAGAATGGTGAGTAATTTAAACGAGGGAGTACAAATAGCAGAAAATGGCACATCTACATGAACAAATAGGTATGAATTGATAAAGATACAGAATGGTGAGTAATTTAATTGAGGATGTTCAAAGATTAGGAAAAGGCAATATATACTTGAACGAATAGGTATGAATTGAGAAAAATAGCGAATGGTGAGTTATTTAAGCGAGAATGTCCAAAGAGTAGTAAATGGCGATATCTACCTGAACGAATTCGTATGAATTGATGAAAATAGAGAATAGTGAGTAATTTAAGCAAGGAGATCCAAATACTAGGAAATGGCAATATCTAATTGAACGAAGTGATATAAATTGATGATAATAAACAATAGTGAGTAATTGAGACCTGAAGGTTCAAAGTGTAGTAAATGGCAATATCTAATTGAAGGAACTGATATAAACTGATAAAAATAGAGAATGGTGAGTAATTTAGTCGAGAGAGGTTCAAAGAGTAGAAAATGGCAAGATATGCTTGAACGAATTGATATAAATTGATGAAAATTGAGAATGGTGAGTATTTTAAGTAAGGAGATTCAAAGAGTAGGAAATAGCAAGATCTACTTGAAGAAACTGATATTAAATTGCTAAAAATAGAGAATGGTGAGTATTTTAAGTAAGGAGGTTCAAAGAGTAGGAAATGGCAAGATCTTCTTGAAGAAACTGATATTAAACTGGTAAAAATTGAAATTGTGAGTATTTTAAGCGAGGATTTTCAAATAGTAGTAAATGGCAATATCTACTCGAAGGAATTTGTATAAATTAGCAAATATAGAGAATGATATCTAATTTTAGCAAGAATGTTCAAATACAATGAAAACGAGGTATAAATTAATGAAAATATAGAATGGTGTGTAATTTGGACGATGATTGTCAAATTGTAAAGAATGGTAATATCAATTTAAACAAATTGGTATAAACTGCTAAATATGGAGAATTGTGAGTAATTTGAGCGCGGAGGTTGAAAAAGTAAGAAATATCTACATGAACAAATTGGTAGACAATAATAAAAATAGAAAATAATTATTAATTTGTGAGAGTAGGTTTAAAGTGAAAGATAAAGTGATATCTACTTGAGCCAAGTTGTATAAATTGATGAAACTAGAAATTGGTAAGTAATTTGAGTGGAGAGTATCAATGAGAAAGAAAAGGAGGTATCGACTCGTGCCAAGTGGTACAAATTAATGAAAATAGAGAATGATGAATAATTTTCCCGAGGAGGTTCAAAGATACGGAAAAGGGGATATCAACTTCACAGAAGTGGTGTAATATGATGAAAGTTGTGTATGGTGAGCAATTTAAACGTGGAGGTTCAATGATTAGGAAATAAATATCTACTTGGACGAAATGGTATAAATCTTTTAACATAGAGAATAGTGAGTAATTTAAGCAAGGCCGTACGAAGAATAGGAAATTACATTATATAATTGAACGAAATTATATAAAGCGATGAAAATAGAGAATAGTGAGATATTTAAACGACGAGGTTCAAACGTAGGAAATGGCAATATCTATCTGAACGAATCCGTATAAACTGATAAAGATAGAGATTGATGAATAATTTGTGCGCGTAGGTTCAAAGTGAAAAGAAAATGATATCTACTTAGGTCAAGTTGTATAAATTGATGTAAGTATCGAAAAGTGAATAATTTAAGCGAAGAGTTTCAATGAAAAAGCAAAGGTGATATCGACTTGAATTATGTGGTATAAATTAATGAAAATAGGGAATGTTGCGGAATTTCAACGGGGAATTACGAAGATACGTGAATGGAGATATCAACTTGAAATAAGTGGAGTAAATCGATGAAAACAGTGTATAGTGAGTAATTTGAGTGAGCAGATTTAATGATATCAAAAAAGAAGTCAACTTGAATAAAATGTTATAAATCTTTGTAAAGTTAACTAATTTGTGTGTGGATATAGACACCAGAATGGAACCGAATTTTCGCTGATTTGCTCCAGGATATAGAAGACGATGGAAGCCGAAAATCCATCTCATTTATTTGTGGATATAGAAAGTGTTAAGTGGTCCACCCCTTTTTCATACAAGTGGACTCGCCCAGTGTGTACTTGTACTCCTGCCGGTGAATACACGGGAGTCAGAAAGTCAAACGGAGTGACAGTGATGCATTGAGAGAGTGAGGTAACCGCTTTGTAGGAGTCAAAGTTGCGAGCACGTAGACTCAGAAGGAAGTCCTACTTCGATACTGAATTTCCCAGACTGTATATATATTATTATTGCTACTAACCGCATTTCTGGATCTACTAACCGTATTACCAATTGTATTATTACGTCAATACATTTATTTGCTATATTTCATTCTTGCATTTGGCATTCATTTCGAAACCGGATTTCATCCCGGAATCCATAACAGAAAATGAAGCAACCGAAAAGTTATCTAAATTCTGTTTAGATATAGACGGTTAAAGAAACCGAAAACTCGTGCATGAAAATGAAGACCGAAAACTTATCTAATTTCTGCGATGCTACAGAAAGAGAAGGGTCCCGAAAAATCATCTACTATGGAAAGTGAAGGCAGGCGAAACCGAGGAAATTTTACACTTGCAATCATCCTGAAGACAAAAGACAAAGAGTAAAGTAAATCACCTACTAAACGAACTTGTGTAATTGATTGATGAAAACAGGTTATAAAAGAGATATCTTAAAGTCAAACCTTACTAAGAGCCACAAAGTATGGGAAGTTGTGGTGAGCCATGACCGACCGCCTCCTGAAGAACACATCACATAGCAGAAGATGTTTACAGGAAAACAAGAACTCGGAAGCGAGTTCCACAAGCGAGAAGTGCGAGAGAAAAAATTATTAGCATCGAACTTACATCGAGTAATTTTAACAGTTAATAGAGGAGGCTTAGCTGCTAATCTAGTATTTCTCTTAAATTCGTGAAGTCGAGATCACAAATAGGAAAGAAATACTTTCAAAATACAAATATGTCGCACAAGGCCAAAAATGCAGATAAGGGAATGTTGGTCTTCAGCCTGTCTTATCTTAAACTTAGCTAACCACAATTACTTACACAAACATAAAATCTAATCGTCTAGATATCGTGATCAAAGACCACAAAAACAGAATGTGCTTTCTTATTGACGTGGCATTCCTTGCAGAATGTAATGTATCTCTGAAGATCTTCAAAAAAAAACTATCAAAATACAAGGATCTTGAAGTCGAAATCTAAAGAAATGTGGTACATGAGAACATCAATGATAGCTGTTGTAGTTGGAGCCCTCGGATTGATTGGAAAGGGTTCCGATAATATCAATGAACGGATTCCTGGCAGTCCAAGCCTTAAAGAAATACACAAAATTGTACTCGCACATTATGAAAAGCTTTATCTATGTAAAATGTGTGTGATCTTAGGTTGTTTTCGGTTTGTTTGTTTCTTAGAAAAATGATAAGTGGAAGAATTCATTAAGGTATTTCTGATTTTAGATCTCTGGTTACGACCCGGAAGGGAATGTGTATACAACAGAAATCAAAAGAAATAATAATAATAATAATAATAATAATAATAATAATAATACTCAGACCCGGTTACGGAGATAGGACCTGTTACAGGTTTATAGGACTACAAAATACGCACAAACAGAACAATCAAAGCTAACATTATTATTAAAGACTGCAAGCAAAAAAAGTGCCTCATTATTGATATGGCAGTCCATGCAGACTGCAATGTATCTTTGAAGATCTTCAAAAAGCTATCAAAATGCAAGGACCTTGAAATCGAAATCTCAAAAATGTGGCACATGGGAACATCAAGAATTCCTGTTGTAGTTGGAGCCCTAGGATTGGTTGGAAAAGATTGCAGTAGACTAATTGAAGGGATTCCTGGAAGCCCATGCCTTAAAGAAATACAAAAAATTGTTCTCATGTGTACAGCTCATACCTTACGAAAATGGCATGATGCCATTTCTAACCATAGGTCTTACACACCAGAAATCAAAGGAAATAAAATAAAAATAATAATGGTTTCTGTGGAGAGCTATGATAGTCTACTTCCTAACAAAATAGTTATATGATTAATTTGTACTTAGATGTTTCTCTCTTGAAATTTGGTTTGTATAATTACAATTCCCTGGGTAACAGCTATCAGATTAAATAGCACGAGAGAGAGTTGGTTTCACTTCTTTTTCAAGGTTTTTATGTGAAACAAACAGTCTGAAACACAGAGCACTAATTCAATAACAATAATTTTTCAGTGAATTAAAATCACAAGATGACGGGTCATATAGAAAGCCGAATTTGTTTCATGCCTTTCTCTCTGTTATTAGTACGAAAGGGATAAAAGATGTTTCAGTCAAAGCTCGAACTCCGTATGCTATGTTGATTTTCAAAGCTGATAACCATTAAGGCTCATCGCTTTCACTCCGCATCCACCAGAGATACATGCTGCTAAATAAAGAGAAATTCAACCGTGAGTAACAAAGAAAGAGGGGGAACAAGACTAGAACAGTGAGGAGCCAAGAGAGGAATAAGAAGAAAATCTAAAGTGAAATTGAAAGTGAAACCTGACGCAAGTGATTGGCTGACGCCATCGCCACACCCGCTTGCTTGTGGTTAGCGCTAGGAAAAAGCGTGCGGGATTATGCTAATCCTCCCGACTGCAGCAGCCTGACCTTTAGTACGGTTCTTGTTGGGAGTACGCGCTTGCCTGTGTACGAGTCGACACCTGCTTCGACGTGCCGAACAGATTTGAGGGAATAAAGACAAAAAAACAAAAAAAACTTGTAGTTTTCTTTCTTTTTTGAGTGCGTTTTCTTTTTTTTCTTTTTTTTTTTTTTTTCTTTCTTTTTTTTTTTTTTCAAAAGATTCTTAAAATATATTGAATGGAAAAGCAAAGGGAGGAAGTGGCCGGAGATGAAGGGTTGACTGGAATTGAAAAGTATGTATCAACGTTCCGTCGTCATAGTAGAGACTCTATAACACGTTTTGGACGCGAGCCGAGTGATGGAAGCAATGTAATTTCCTCAAAGTTTTACCTTTGAATCTACTTGCAAGACAGCCGATTGAAGGTTAAAGGTGACGTAAACGCTAAAAGCGTATTTGAAAAACTACCCAAAATACCATATTGTTTGCCAAATGGAAAAGTATTTGCTTACTTTCCTGTATTCGGTCTACTGTATATGGTCAACACGTTATTATATCGATAACATTAATCATATGACGATTAATATTGACCCTATAAGTTTTCCAAACGTACCCTGTTTATACAAGAGAAAGCCTTCTTTTTTCGCCAGGCACTTTTGCCATTGCAAATAATGATTATGAATTTAACTTTTGTTATTTGTTAAAGGATTTTTATTCCATTCCAAATGATGCAATACAGCACGTTCCTAACAAATAACTAAATGGACTAGAGAAAGTTCCGCTTCGTTCTTTGTAAACATATAACAGGATTTCGGAACAATTTAATAGATAGATAGATAGATAGATAGATAGATAGATAGATAGATAGATAGATAGATAGATAGATAGATATGAAGAAAATAAGAGTAAAAAGATATTTCAGTATATTCATATGTCTAATTTTCTTATCTCTTTTATTCTCTTTCTATCTATCTCAGTCTCTTCTTATCTATCTATCTATCTATCTATCTATATATATATATATATATATATATATATATATATATATATCGCCCTGTCCACATCTATCTATCTATCTATCTATCTATCTATCTATCTATCTATCTATTGTCCATATCTATCTATTTACCGATTGTTCATATCTATCTATCTACCTACCTACCTACTGGTGTATCTTAGTCCTTTAAACTATTCAGAAAATTACGTTACAGTATCTGTCAGTCAGTCAGTCTGTCTCTCTATCTCTCTATCTATCTATTGGTGTGTCTTAGTTCTTTAAACTATTCAGAAAATTACGTTACATTTCACTGTTTGCATTTTTAAATATCTCTCTTTCTCTCTGTCTCTCTTCATACATACATACATACATACATACATACACATACACACACAGATATATATATATATATATATATATATATATATATATATATATATATATATATATATATATATACATATGTGTCTACTAGCTTTTTTTAAAATTTTAACATTTTTACTGCTCCAAATTTTAAAAAAAAAATGTTCAAACATTAACAATAAACATGTAATATAATAATAATAATAATAATAATAATAATAATAATAATAATATTCATATATTCGGTTGATCGAGAAATTTTTCATTTTTTTAGGAAACAAACCCAAACTCATTTAAAATGTGAGAAAAATTTAATTTATATTTGTCAATATGGCCATTATTTGCAAGAACAAAAGTTCTTTGTGGAATTAATTTAATATGAGATTTCTGGCAGCGAGCTTCAACATTTTAAAGTTTTTATCGTTAAAAATTGTTCGGTAACCTGAATGAATAAATATAAGCCTTTTTAATTCGGTGAATACAGACTATCTAAACCTCTTGAGGCGATGTTCCCGTCAATTTATTTGACTGGGTGTAGTCTTCCACTGTTTATTTGAGTATTGAGAGTGCCTGCTGTCAGGTCATTTCTGCGAAAATGTTCGCTTTTCATGAATTCATAACAATATGTCATTGAAAATATATTTTTGTGGGTACTGAATTTCGGCAAAATTATAAAAACGGACATGTTTATTTTTTTAACAATAAGTAGAGAAGAATGGTCAGGGTTAAAAACAAAATGCAATCACCATCAATGGCAAATCAAAAAAGTATAAAGAAATTTATCTTAAGAAAAGAGAGAGAAAAATATAGGACTGGTCCTCATTCATCTTTTGTCAGACCCCAACCGCGTAAGATTAGAATCGCTGCCCACCACGATTCAAAATAAAAGAGAAATCAGAATAGGAAATATATATATATATATATATATATATATATATATATATATAGATATAGATATATATATAGATATAGATATAGATATAGATATAGATATAATTATTTATTTAAAAAAATTATAACATAAATATTTTATAAAATCACTACAAAAATATCCATTTTGTTTCAACACCTCCGGTGTCTTATCAAGTAATGGTGTTGAATATAAAATAAATGATTTTAAAAGTTTCAAATTAATTAACGATCCTTCGCAAGGGTAAAACGTTGTTACATATACATATATAAAATAATAAATAATAAATTTAATAAAAAAAAAAAAACGATTAAAAAATAAAAAATAAATATATAAGATAAGAAATAAAAAAAAAATAAAAAAATAAAAAATAAAAATAAATCAAAACAAGCAAAATAATTTAGCCCAAATAAATAAATAAACAAATAAACGACTTCCGGTAAAATAACCGCCAAAATAGACTACCCACAATGCACCACTGACCCGTATATAGCCGAGAAAAATAACACCACTCGTGGCCTGACGATTGCATCTAGCATGAAACAGACTGTCGCCTCTAAGTGTTGACTTCAATGTTCACTTTTATATTTACACACGCTCTATCTCTGATATTGAGCACTTTATCCCATAAATATAGCACACCTTAAGACTATATTTCTTCATATATATATATATATATATATATATATATATATACTAGTTTAACAGACATTTAAGGTAGCTCCTACAGAGGACTCTTAATTGGGCCCTCATCACAATAGGTAGGGAAGTGTAGAAGCTATAGACAAGAATAAACTACAGAAAAATTCAAAACTGTTCGCTGCATTCACGTATAAACAAAAGGTTTAAGCTTACCTTTTAAAAGTTCAACTTTAATTCTTCTGTTGCCACTTAATTTAAAGACAATTTGATGCACGTAGGACCTTATTTTACGCATACACAATTATTTTTATTTCATGGGAGACTTTCGCTAGATTTCGCAATTAATTTCAATTATTCCGAAATTTATTTCCAAGTTATAAAAAATTACTGTCGTACAAAAAAATTCGTCGCAAAAAAAAAAAAAAATCACGAAAAAAAATCCACGAAAACAATCGCAGTAATGAAAACCTTGGGATCCCAAATTCCAGGATTGCAAGTTAGGAATATACCCGGATTTTTTTTTTTTAATTTGCTCACGGAGTTGCCCTGATTCCAAAATGGTATGATATGTTGGGCTACGGTGTCTAAGAGTAAAGATGAAAAACTGTGACACAGAGACACCTGACATATATATATATATATATATATATATATATATATATATATATATATATATATACACTGCGTGCCAAATTATTATCGAGATAACTTTTTTCTAATATTTCAAAAACCGTTCAATCAATTCACACACAATTTTCACATAATGTTGGCAACACTAAACTGCGATTGCGCAGGTGATTTGAGCGTGCCAAATTATTAGAAAAGTATAAGAATTTAGTGAAAAGATGGGCCGTAAAATCAGTTTAAGTGATTCTGAAAAGAAAACTATTAACTCAGAACTCTCAAAAAGTAAATCTACCCTAGAAATTTTTAAAATGATAGGGGAAGTGTCATCAAACAGTGAAAAATTCACCGCCGACCCTACACAAGTACGCAAAAGGGCAGATAAAGGCAAGCCGAAGGTTATTTCACGTCGTCTCATGTCACGACTTAAACGAGAGGCCACGAAGAACCCTGGACTTACCAGTCAAGAGCTTTTCAGTCGTATTGGGGATCCTACTGTGTCTAAAAGTACTCGGTGTCGGTATCTGAGGGAAATAGCAACAACAGTCAAACCCGTATCGAAGCCTCCGTTGACGAAAAATCACATTCAAAATCGATTGAAATGGGCCGAGGACAATATGAAGATTGACTTCTCAAAAGTTTTGTTCACAGACGAAAATCGAGCAACACTTGATGGGCCAGATAGATGGTGCAAAAGCTGAGTAATGGATCGTCGACTTTTTCAAGTAATTTGAAAACAGGGAAAGCACATTCCCTATTAATTTGTTTAAAACTGTGCCTTTGTTTGTATCTGTTATTATTTGTTTGGTTATCTTATTTATTAGCTTCTTTTGATCATAAACATTCACGTTCAACATTAATAAACGTTTTGTTTGCTCAATTCTGGGAATTTTACTAAACCTTTCTAATAATTTGGCACGCTCAAATCACCGTGCTGATAACAAATATGGCGCCAGTTTGTTTACATTGCACAGATCAGTAAGAAAATTTCAGTGATTGCGCAGCTCAGTATTACCAACGTTGTGTGAAAAATTTGTGTGAATTGATTGGACGTTTTTTGAAATATTAGAAAAAAAGTTATCTCGATAATAATTTGGCACGCAGAGTATGTACAAGATAATCCTAAGGAGCCAGAAAAAATGTTATAAATATAAGGCAGGTGATAAGTTCTGTTCCCTATCTACAGAGGAAAAAATAGTTATTGCTAGCTATAAAGAACCTAATAATTTATTGAACCTAAAATCGAAAATTCTTAGTCGGTGTAGGCATAGAAAAAGCTGGTTATTAGAGTAGGTTTGTTTGTTTTTTGTCTTTTGTTGTTTAATAAAGTACACAAAATCCCACCCCACCGTTGTTTGGTTTTATTTTAATTTTTTTTTTCGTCACGTGGTCATGGTTATTTTTGGTTTTAGCTATAAATTCTGTTCCATAATTTTCCTTCTTAGCCAGCATCGCCCTGAGGATCCGTTTAGGTGAAACCTAGGTAGGTTTGCCTGGCTCCGTAGGATTACATTAGCTTTGTTCTACTTTTTTTTTCTTTTTTAAGCATTACGCCCCGAGCAAGGCGTGTAGCCACTAGGATGCAGGGGTTTGCAGAATATTTGGAGCGAGAGCAGATAGGAGTGATACAAGAAAGGATGAGGAGAGGGATAGCGGTGAGATCAAGGTATTGAGCACTTTACGTAGGTGTCTTTTTACTCGTTTTGTTTTTTTGTTTTTTGGGGGTTTTTTTTGTTTGAACTTGGGGCATGCCTTAATTTAATGTTCTTGTTTCTTTTTTATTCCCCATTTTTCCTCGGGTACCGATTTGTTCTACTCCAAGTCGAGCTATCCGAGGTTTTTCCAAACGAGTACAACCATTTATATATACTATACATATATATATATATATATATATATATATATATATATATATATGTGTGTGTGTGTGTGTGTGTGTGTGTGTGTGTGTGTGTGTGTGTAATAGAAGTGAAATAAAGCCAATACCCAGAGGCGACAGACTGTTTCATGCTACATTCAATCGTCAAGCCTTATGCTTTGTTTGTTTTTTTTTGTTCGACTATTTATATATACATGTCAGGTAAATAAATGATTATTCCAACTTTTCTTCGGACAACGGGACTCATTCTTTTTATTCCTGATGCTATTACTACAAGATTACTACAAATCTACTCTACAGCCATTTTTAGAATATGAAAAACCTCATTTCGTTCCCAGACAATGGTAATGAGAATATTAGACTTTCTATTATGTGGAATCATTCGGCATTCATTGACCGAGCAACAAATACTATTCGAGTTACGCTTTTCTTTACTCCCTGGGCATCGATTTGGAATTGAAGTGTAGTATCTGTTCTCCTCATCTCTAATGATAATGGTAATATTCATCGTTTCCT